AAGGTTGCCCATATTTTAAAATTAAACATGAGAGTAAATATGTTTTAAGGACTAATAAACCATCGACGAAGTGCTTGACGAAATAGGTGTAAATTTATAAAATTGTTAAAACTCATGTCTCGTCCACTTATCGGTTCAAAGGACAACGGCTTGCATATCTTTTTGGAGTAAACTGTGTAAACTTGATTATATGTATACTAGCCCTCCCCGAAAACTCACATATCAAATTTCAGCGAAAACGTTAGGGCCTTTTACTTGGTCACATGCTTTTTCAAGCAACCAATTATCAGGTTGATTTGTGAATGTAAACCATCCAGGGCGCCACTCAAACGCATACAGAACAAAATATTTAAATCGGTCAAGCCGTTTAGGAGAAGTTCGATGAAATACACACGTGGAGAAGAATTATATATTAAAGATATACACGTAATCAAAAATTCATACGATATTTCAGAAAACATAATTAGATTTAAACTACCGTGAAGTTGTTTCAGTTTAGTAGTTGTATTTAAAGTATTTGGTTACTACACGGTTGCCATTGACCGTACTAAACATCTGACAGGCCTACCTAATTAAAATTGTATGAATTCTTCAATACGAGTGACATTAGTGTATATTTAAGTGACCATTCTCAGTTCATAGACATGTCCAACTGTTACTTCTCACAAATATATGGAAACACATTTCAGTATAGAAATTAATTCTTTTAATTTGGCACTATTTTCAAGCAAACATTTCTTGATTGATTATTCTTTGACTCGAATGATAAATAAGACAACAGAGTTTGTAAAAAACGCGACATTGTAAACTTACATTTTTTTTTCTGGATACCTAGTATTTTTGGCAAACTTATTTGTATTTTTCATTCAAATTTTCACGCTGTATGTAAAAAGTTTTGTTGTGATTAATAAGATTCGGAAACTGGTACGATCGATGAGTTAGTGTAATATAGAAGACTTTTGTAGGTTCAGGGAGGAAAACGTGTGGAAGGTCATTTGAAGGGCGCAAAGGACTCGGGCGACACAATGTCTGTAAATGTTGCTGTCACAGCGAGTTCATTTACCCCCAGCCAATCGGACTTTGTGAAATTAAATTCAAGTGTTGTGAGTTTTTTTTTGTACAGGGTGTATTCAAATATCGATTTGTTTGTAACCAATAGGTATATGTAGAGTTGTTCTACGTGTTTATCAGACACTGCCAAGAAGGTAGTTTCCTTTATTGTAAATTAACTTTTATTGATTCCTAATAGTATGATGACAATACAGAAATAATTTGTGATCACATTTCTTAGTTCATATGATAGGTAATAAACTGATTCGTAGTAATGGGTAATGGCTACATGCCAAAATCATAATATTATGAATTAATTAACTTAAGTGTAATGTGTGGATTGGTTTGGGAATGTCTAATCAACTTTTAACAGTTGAAAACAATAATAACTAGTACGTGTAAGTTTAAAAGAAATCTTGACTCATGACTAAAATTTCACTCCGTATACTACTCTGTCAAGAAAGTACCGGGAAAAAGTCAATAATACACAAAATGTTTGTTATTCATCTAAATTTATTTTATCACCTTCAAAGTATGCTCCTTCAGAAACGATACACTTACGCCAACGAATAATCAAATCATCGAAATTTTTTTTAAACGCTGTTTCCGGAATTGAGTACAGTGCTCGCCGCGAATTCTCCTTTATGTCTTCTAACGATTGAAACCGGGTGCCACGAAGGGGTAATTTGAGTGTGGGAAAAAGAAAGAAGTCGGCTGGAGCCATATCTGGTGAATATGGTGGCTGCTCGATGGTGTTTGTTAAGTGTTTGGACAACAAATCGTTTACAATGATGGCCTTGAGCGAAGGCGCATTATCGTGATGCAAAATCCAAGAATTTTCTTTCCACATTTCTGGCCTTTTTCGTCGAATTTGTTCTCTTAAACGCCCCAAAATGCTCAAAATGCTCAAATAATATTTACCGTTTGACCTTCGGGCAAGAATTCTGAGTGCACAACACCGCGATAGTCAAAGAAAACAGTCAACATGACTTTGACTTTTGATCGACTTTGACGTGGTTTTTTCGGTTTTGGTTCAGTTGGAAGGCGGCATTCCGAAGCTTATTGACTAGTTTGCATGTCAAACTCGTAAACCCACGTCTCGTCACCAGTAACAATGCGTTTCATGAATGTTGGGTCGGTATTGACTCGTTCTAGCATGTCCTCAGCGACTTTCATGCGATTTAGTTTTTTAAGAAAATCCAGGTCTTTTGGGACTAGCCGAGCGGCAACACGTTTCATACCCAAATTATTTGTTAAAATGGTACGGATCGACTCGTGAGATACAGAAAGTTCGGCGGCCATCTCTCTCAAACTTGAATGAGGATTTTCAGTCACTATTTCCTTCACTTTTGCGATGTTAACTTCAGTTGCAGACGTTGATGGCCTACCAGAACGAGGCAAATCTTCCATCACATCTCGACCGCTTTTGAACGCTTTGTACCACTCATAAGCACGTGTTTTTGATAAAGTCGATTCACCGTAAGCCTTCTGTAACATTTTGAGTGCCTCCGAACACGAAATTTCATTGGCGATGCAAAATTTAAGACAAATTCTTTGTTCGATGTTTTTGTCCATTATGAAATTCGCAATACACACTAGATATTATAAAACTAAAAACAGCACTGTTTTTAATATAAATAACAGATGCAACTCAAATTCCGCGCCAAAATGGAAAACAGTTATGCCAATCTAACAACAACAAAAAAAATTAAAATTCGAATTTGGAACCATAAAAAAACATTCATTCCCGATACTTGGTTGACTGAATGTATACTTTGATTGATGTATCCGTCTTTGTAAAAAAATATGAATGATGTCGCGTACCTCGGTAGAAGGCAATATCACCACATACAATAAAAAAGTCGTGTGATCTGTCCCTATATTCCTATGTAGTCTTAAATCTTTAGGTATAACTACGCAACGGATTTTGATGCGATTTTGTTTAATGGAAAGAGTGATTGAAGTGAAAGGTTTCTATGTAGGTATACTACCATTCATTAAATAGTGGAGAAATTAAGTATGAATAGTCCCTAGTAATATCTCAATTATGATTGTGAGAATGCAAACATGCGATGAAATATTCAATCAATAAAAACCTGTCGACATTCGCCACAGAAATACATACATCATTTGATATTTCTGTTCTACTTTGCGTTTATTTCTGTCAATTGTGACTATGTATATGTCGACCTCTACATATAGCTAGGTAGATACTCTCCATTTTCAAAGACATTTTTTCAATGTAACAAACGCTAGATTTACCTACGTCACATAATATATGACAAATATTATTTACCGTTGCGAAAATAAAATATTACCTTCACGCCTTTGCTTTTAGGTTCAATATTCTCTGTCTTTAAGGGACGAAAGTGCATTTAGTTTGGGTCGCTCTGCAATAAGATGCATGGCACTCCGCTGGTATTTGTGATAATTGAAACGTGTGCCAAGGAATCGTCGGCGTCGCGTTGGACCACGACCGTCTAAATAAGCTTTGTTTGTCTAAAGATTTATAAGCCGTCCACACCACAGCACCAGCTAGCTTTTCAAAAATATATTTTTTATTGTAATGGGGTAAAACTATGTATCCTGGGCGTGCTGCAAGACAGATATAGAGGCTGGGAATAAAGCAAAATAAACAGTGTAACACGAACATTCATCACGGTCTCTAGCGAACATTTATAGAGTAATTGAAATATTTCTCTAAAGTTTATTACTGACGATTTATATACCTAGATAAAACTGGACGTGATCCTTAATATTATTTACGTGAAGATTATTTGCGTTACAAAATGAATAAATCATGGAAAATGCATACTTAACAACATTGTTGCCGCGAGCTGACGTTTCGTTGAAGTAAACCGATACCAAATTAAAATGAAATGTTATCTTGATGTATAGTATCATTTCAGTGTTTTATAGCGTTGCTTTTTTTTTATAAAACAGACCAGTATAACGTAATTTTGATAAATAAAGTCCATTGATCACGCGGTGTGCTCTGTGCCTCGAAAACTTACCCTCCGTAAGAAAATCCGCCTTCAAACAAATGATTATTTCCCTTGGGTTGTGTAAGCGTTATTTTAATACTTGGCCGATAAGGACCTTTCATTTTAATTCGAGATTTTATTACAAAGTTCGTTTACACGAAGAGTTTTATTGAAGAAGCCTTAGAGTCGATTACTGTAGGTCGCAATCCCCGGCGTCTATTGCGTCACCATCTCGGTTGATGGACTCAAAGTATTTTCCCTTTTAGCTACATTTGTTTTTCTACGAATAGAAATAACAAGTGAGCCATCGTAAATTCACGTTTAGAGATGTAGGCTTGCCTTTTTGTGTGTCCTTCTGGATTTTATTAGCTTTATGATAACGAGGTCTCTTTATACGATATTAGGTACTTTACGTTTATATTGATTTTAATACCAACTTCTTGTAAGAGTGTGTGATTATAAGTATCAATATAAAAACTAATACAAATATGAAAATAAATTTCCGAATGATTCGGGTTAGTAAAAATCATCTGTCACGCTTGTTGGACAAAATCACACCTAGATATAAAGCGTACACATTACTACAAGAGTCACGTGCGAATTTACTTAAATGGTGATATTGTGACAAGTACAGAGATGTGGATAGTGCGAGATATCAAATCTCGTGGCCATTGATCGGTGGGCGGCGCGCGGCGGCGGCGGCAGGGCGGGCGGCGCGCCCACGTGCTCGCTCACGCCCGGAATAGACAGTTCGCCCCGCGCAACTGTTCTCACCTCACATCTCTCTAGTTACAAAAAAACTTTACAACATTTCCACGTACATCGTTTTAATAAAAGATAATTTATAAATAAAATTCAATAATTCTTATGTCAATAAAAATTGTGATAATATATTTATTCAAGTAATTAGATTGTTATTTAATTTAATTAAAATTATTTAGATAAATAATAAACTTCCTCGTGTTCAGTACTTGAATAGCAAAGGTCGTGTTGTGGACGTAAGCAATATAGGTGTTCGTAATAATTGTTTCGTCACGTTCGTGTTGATGGTGTGTGATGTGCTTGTGATATAGAGACTAATACTGATATCGTGGGAGTCAAGTGCAGTGTGACATTGAGTTGGGAAGGATAGTCGGAGTCGGTGTATGTGACGTTGGAACGAGCCAGCAATCGTGGTATTTTGAATACGTTAGAATTTTGGCGGTGTGTAGTGGTTAGTGCGCTGATATAGCCGCGGTGAATAATAGTCGGCGCCGGCGCCGAGCGGTGGTGTCAAGGTGCGGCGTGCGCATGTGCGATGCGATGCGTGACAAACTGTCCGCGCTGCTGCGGAGCTCGGTGCATGCGCCGGCGCATCACAACAACGAAAAGCTACACAATGATGCGTTCGGCCCAGTGCTCGTTTTCACAGATGAAGGTTAATAGATTTTTTAATTATTATTCTCCATAACAAATTTAATACATCGTGCTTTCTATTAATATTTTGATATTAAATAAAACTATACTATACTATTAATTATACAATAAGCGCTAGCTATATCATCATTTAAAGGATTTCTCATTTGACTAGCTATGTACCTTTGGGATGTTATCATTCACCCACTTAGATCTAACGTCTAATATTTTGAAAACATTTGTTGAGTTGTGTAAGAAATTCATGCGAATACATCGATTAGTAGGTACAATTAAAGTACAAAAGATGTTATTGTTCTAATAGGTATACTACTTATTATGTTTACAATAAAGCCAATATTATAATATTTTTTCTTGTTTTGAAACTTGGCGTCATTGCCGATGCAACTATACTTACACCTAGATTTATGGTATTATGGTTTGCTAGTAACTAATGTGTGTCCATAAAATTTTTTGAACATACTAATTCTGTGTAATTCAATATGTTCCATTTTCCAAAACCCCGTAAGATTTTGATGGGAGCGGAACGAGCTGGTTTTGTACATTTGTGTATGGTAAATATTTAAATCCAGACTCATTTTATAGTGTCAAAAAAAGAGATCAATATTATTTGTTATTGTGAATTGATTTACTGTAAATTTTATTTAAGCGAAGCAAAACATTGCTATAAAACAGTAGTTTCATAAAAAGCAGCATCGCTTTTCACAACCGACGCTACTTTTTGTCGTATATCTTTCAATAATATCTATTAGATTCCATTAGACACTATTAAATGTTATTCCACTTATAAAGACGTGGTTGTTTATACGACGACGTATACAAACTGTATATGTTGCTGAAATAAATTTTAGTAAATATTGGTTTAGGAATTGATTTATAGACAATATTTCTGTTTTCGCAATACGTACTTATGTAGGTATAAATCTTACGGTCGTCGTGGCTTTAATGAGTTTAAATTTCATTTTTGGTGACATGTTTCATCCCGCCTTTTTCTATGACAACCAGCTATCAAATGAAGGAATTACATTTAAGTTCGTTAAAAAATACATTAGTAAAATCTTTAGACTTGAAATGGACGATTATTTTCTTAATCGTGTAGACTGTAGATTATTGTCCATACCAATATTTTTAGAGAAATCATGAGCCATCTATATAATTACATTGTAGCGTTGTAATTTGTCAATGTACAGGTAGGCTATACATTTATGTATTACGCGATTTCTTACGTTGACGAATAGACATCCCAGTCCACTTTCAGACATCTAGTGTTTCGGTCACATGATTCATGATTTCTTTTGTTTATTTTTTACTACGTTTGTATTCACTGTACTGTGCTGATCCTATACAAATCGCACATGTTTAAACGACCAAATAAAGAAAAAAGATCATGGTTGGTACTCGGTTGTTCTTCTTATTCAACCTCGCTGTTTGTGGCGCAGTATTCACGTAAAGAAGACCATTTCAATTTGAGTCTTTTTGATTATAAAAGGGGGTTTCCAGGGATTTATCTCAATCAGTTAAAAACATTTTAATTAATACGACCCCATTAAACATTGTTCTCCACATGTTATTAATTTACAGTGTCCCTAAACCCACTTTATTTTACACCCGACCGTGTGCCGAATAAATCGGGCAGTCGGGCATATTTCATGCTCCAATAAGGAGTTAATCAACCCGAGGTCCTTCCACGAGTTTATTCAAGAATAGAAAGGGCCAACAGAATCGTTACCTCATGGCCAATGTCAATGCTCTACATAGAATGTTCTAACAAATACTATAGCCATGAATATTTTATTTACCGTTCCGATTTTACAAAGAAGTTTCAGTTCATTGTTCTGTTTCACATTATTGAAGTGATTATCTCTCTCAATAGTTGTTATTAATATAATCAATTAGTTTCCCGTAGCCGGCGTCTAAACAGTTGCTTTTATTATAGTTTGGCGGCTAATAAACACATCAAACTTTTTTGAATGGACGAAGAACGCGGAAATTTATATTTGCAATATCTATTTTCTCATCGCACTTCGATACGAGTTTGCCGTTTTAAAAATCTCACTGTTGGATAAATATTTAGACAATTTCGTCGGAGAACGTTCAGTATAATTATTATTTCTTCCTGTTACGATGCTAGCCTCGTGACAGAGCTCGCTTTGCGTCATACTATGTAGAGATAAATCTTACTGTCTATACTGAATCAATTCGCGTCCGAAATGATAAACTATTATTGTATTAAAAGATTAACATGTCAGTTCTGTACCACATACCTGTCTAAAAAAAATGCACAGGTAGGTATTAGTTTGCATACAGCAACTGCAATAAACAAGAGATACATTGTTGGAAATACGAAATTCGGTTTATGGTAGGTTTGATTGTAAAATAACACTTAGGTATGTGATGCTTTGATTACTTATAGCAGTACTGAAAACTAAATGCTCCTGGACCATGAAATTTACTGAAGCCAAGTCTATTTTATCTAGTATTTTTATTGCAAAAGCACATAATAATGTGTAACTAAAGAACACTGTTTAAATAAACCTTGAACTTATCCATTACTTATTCCTACATAACCATGTTTTGTAAGGAAATTCTTGTTAGGATAATAATAATAATATTGTAATGCGTCATTGTTGTCCTAGGCATCGTACGACGTATGCACATAGGTAATATTGTTTTAACAAAGTCCTACACTGTGTCAATATGTTCCAACTAATATATTACCAAGACCTTCAAGATGAGACAATGTTTACAATCTAAGATGAAAGCTCAACGTTACTATGTTTACACACCAGTAAATAAATAGAGCTGGAAATTAGATAGACGGACTTAATTTACTAATACTACTTCTTCCTCATTTTCATTCTATATAACGTTGTTAAGATGAATCGATTTATTTCGCTTTGACAAAAGAAGTGCTTGCTGCATGTTGCACATTATAAATCTTTGATGTACAGATAGTCTATGGGCCATGACCTGGATCAATATGTATATAGATTTTTGCCTTGTTAAAGAACCTATATAGATTTATATGTGTACCGCTGGGCGGAGTACTAGTTAAACATACAAGAAAAAGTATAAAACCATGAACAAATTATTTATGTAACAAAAATTTACGAAACGCTTTTCTTAATGTGTCATGCATCTAATTCTAAATGTAAGCAAAACCTGGGCTTGTCCAAAACCGCTAGAAATAGGAGCAAATATATTACGCTAACTTTATAACAAGGGATTATTTATCCTTACGCAAAAGGCTCACGATTCGTTAGCGTTAATATGAAGAGTAAACGATATAAACTATTGCTAATATATGGTAAATTATAATGATGACCGTAGTCATCTTTTTATAATAAAAATAGTCTGGAAATTAGCACAAATTCTTGAATGAAACGAGGTAAATCACACAATAGGTACTTAGTTACTAGTTGGTGTACGTGATTCTCTGCACACCGAGTGTTTTGGTTACACTGTGTCCGGCCTGACATGTGAGCCGTTTGCGTCATCAAAATGGATACTCGCACTTGAGTTGGCAGAAACTGAGACTTGCTAAGTAAGACATGTTACAATTTATTAACTCATTTAGATTCGTAGCGGTGAAAGTTCAGGGTATCGATTTCAGATTCACCTCTATTATTCAAACTTTTAGATATCAGTTCGTCGTTACGTTCGAATAAGAGATGAGAACTTTTGCTTTTCCTTCAGTAAAGGAAGAAATAAGTGGAAAATCATACCTACCTATTTCTATTTATACTACCTAAGAAGTTTTGTTAAGTATTAGGAAATGAAACAGAATATCCCCTGACTATCGAAATACTTATATCTACATACGTAGGTATTCTCGATTAGATTAATGTCGTTTGAAGGTAAAACTTTACTAAGACTGAGTCACATAGAGACGTCGACTGACGAAATGCCGGTAACTAATGACGAAATTACTTTGATTCAATATAGATCAAAGTTGTAATAAATCGAATACTTATCAAAGTAAATGTTTGCGGTTCCAGTGATTGAGAAGAGGCATTAGGGATAATTGTATCTTCGAGATACGAGTCCTGAGTGGACTGCCTGTGCGCATCACATTATCGTTTCTCCATACTAACATTAAAGATAAGATTTTATCGGTTCATTTGACTGATGCTTGTGTGTAGGTACCTGACAAATTTTCTATCAATATACTACGCGGTAAAACCCTGTAAAGCACCTAGAGGACACTTTTATGCCCTCAATTAAATGTGTTGGCATCACAAAATGTTCATTATCATAACTGAAATTGGCAAACTGTCTAATGTTCCGCGTGTTTATACCATTGTCTCAGCTTTTTATTGCTTTGTTTTTTTTTTGACACCAGATAATCGACCTTTGTTTTCAGTGCTATGCTTTAGGCTACCTCTTGTTCCAACTGTTATCATATACACACGTATTTGTGCGGTGTTGAAGCATATAGTCATTTGCCACATAGCCCATAGCACGTGTAAGTTCGATTGGCAGTTTTAAATCAATACCAATAAATGCCCTTGAACTCTTTTTATTTCCCCTATATATAGAGAAATTACCGCTGCATGAATTTAATCAATCATATTGATTATTGCTATATGTAGATATGAATTGTATGAAAAGGTATTGATTCTAGACACTATTATTTAGAAAATCTTTCGTTGGTTTTTGTTTGCTTCGTAACGATTTTATGTGTGTGGTCACAAGTTCATTTGTATTGACTCGATTTAGTAAAACAATTGGCCATCACCATAAGGTTTATTGCTGTTCTAACATAAGAACGTAATACGGCGTGTGGCCTCGTGAATTAAATGCTTTCCACTGCTGAAATCGCTCTCAGAATAGCCGACATAAATGTGAAAAGATCATTAGATTCTAGCATTTCATTTACAATTTTATTTAAACACATTACATGATAGTCCACGTAACAATACAATAGTCTAATTATCACTGATTTAGTGGGTATCTTGGCAAGTATTTGTGGGATTTCGTCTGGTATCCAGCCGTGGTGTATTCGCACTTCACACTTAATTTATAATGCCTCTGTGACATCAATGGGCGTGACTGTCACTATTTCAGGCTTTAGCACTGGACACTTGGTAGAAATGCGAAGATTCAAACTGTGTTTTATTTAAAACAGTAGAAATGCAAAATACGCTACGCAATATTATTCGCATTGTTATTATATTTTTTGCGTAATTGGAAGTTTGCCAAATGTTATGTTATTTAATTATAAAAAATGCGGTTCGATCATAATAAAAAACACTGAAAAACTTAAATTGAGAATTATTTTTCATAACCATATTTATATCATATTTTCTTACAGATCGTAGTTTCGTACACTTCTAACAATTTATTCTGCTAGTTTATTAAGTTAGTAGATATCTCAACACGACCTTTTTGAATTCTATTTCTAAGAAAATGCGCTAAACTACACCTACCAAGTCACGTAGACCTTATCGTCAGAAATTAAGAAATTAATGCAAAGATGAGTAATATTTAAAGGGGAACGAACCTTCTATACTTGTAAGAAACTAAAAATCTGTTGCAATGTCAGGTAATGTTTATGTCTACCCATAACTGTAAACAGGACAGTAGCAAATGAACCTGGGGTTTTACATTGCTACTAATACAATCATTAGGTATATATTTATAGAGTCATCTTCCTAAAAATAAATTAATTCTTTACTTCATCAGCGTGCGACTTCGGTACACGTTTGTGAAATGCAAACAGTTTATTATGAATAGTCCTTCAAATATAACGTGTCTTGCGGTTTCAAGTACATTTTACTTAAGTGATAAAATATATTACATTATTATATTATTCGTAATTACATATTCGTTTTATCTACGGCAGCATAAAATTTAATCAATATAATTTACAATAGTGATTGCAACACACGCAAAGTTTTATGGATTTAAAAAAGAAAAATGGTAAAGTGTTCTTTTTTTCATTTTGATGTGAAGTTAAGTGATACTTTTCCTGTTGCTTTTTACCTTAGTTATTTTCAGTGAAGATTAAAACCTTTTTTGTTTTCGTAAATTTCTTTCGCGGGTTTTATTGAAGGTCGAGTTTATCTGATGCAACTATAACGAAATTAATCGGCTTATTGTGTGTGGATAGTGGGAAATGCCTATATGGCATAAAAACAATTATGTTAGATATAATGTAATATCTATAAGTAGGTAAATATTTTTTATTATAAGGTGTTCGGTTGTTTAATGTTAGGCTTATGTTCATTTTCATTATCTATTGACAAAACGTGTCTTTTACTTGTTTAGGTACAAGCTAGAGTATTTTTTACGTTTTCCTAATCCTTATCAATCAGTTTTTCTCAAGGCATTAATTGCTTACATATGTAGTTAGAGCAGTTTATCTTGACAAAATCTTTATTTTTTATTGTATCGACAAATTATTCCTTATATTAATTTTTTTACTACCTATCGTGCTTATTTAAAAAATATTTAACTCACATTAGGTACTTAGTAAATAGAACATATTATACCTAGCTCCAACGAAATACCTACTGCATAGGTGTATCTATGTGATTCTACTTCACTATACAATAAAGAGGTTTTCTCTGTCCCTATATATCCTTATGTATAAGTTTTTTTTTGTTAGGGGAAGATCATCCAATTACTAAATCTCTAAAAAATAATACTATAGAAATTTTTTATAAGCATTGCACCTGTGCAAAACCGGGGTGGGTCGTTATCAGTAACCTGTAAACGGGAAAATTTTGTTGCAGTTGGTACGTAGACTTGTGATTACGGAAGATGTTAATAATGTTTTTGTTTGTACACAGGGAGCGCACGCGAAGGCGGATTGGTATGGCGCGGGTGCTCAGCCGAGTGCGACGCAGAAGACGGCGCGGCGGGTGCGCTCACCGACGGCAACGCCAACCCAGGAGACAAGGTACACCTTGATTTTTGACGGAGGTCCTGCCCCCCAGGGTTTTTTTTGTGAGGGGAAAATCATCAAATGACTTCTCCCGCCCAGGGCCGGGCGGGAGGGAGTGTCAGACTCTTACTGACTAAAAACCCCCCTGTTCCTTCTCCTGCTCTGTGCCGAGGTCGCGGTGCCTCATTGCGCTTACCCCGCAACCCCGGCTGAACATCAGCCCTATAGGGCCCCGTCTGTCACAGAGATCACCATGGTGATCTATTGGCTCTTTGAGGCGCGCGCGGAACGCTACGCGCCGTACTCTCGGGCCTGGTTCTGGTCGGGCGGCGAGCTGCCCTTACTCGCCGACCGCAGGCCCGTGCTTACGGTGGCTCCCCAGGGTGAGACCAGAGTTACGTTGCTATGCGATGATCAATGTCGGAAATGGTATAATTACTCGTACATATAGGTTTCGGAATCGTTTGGTTGGTTGCAGACTTATTCGATAACTGCTGGTTGCAAGAATATACATCATACCTAATATATCCTACATTTTGCGAAGATGTTTATTGTTAAAATTCATAACGCATCGCGTACGTTGATTCACCGTGTATGTAAAGTTACCGGGTGCCCAATCTTTTCCTTCACACCCGAATCCCTAAAATGTTAAACCCTTAAACGACTGGAAATGTACAGTCAGGGGTCAAAAATGCAATTACACTCTACCAATTTTAAAATGACAAAAATATCTTTTTGTAAAATAGAGTCAATGGTTGAGGACTGCTTTAATTTATAGCATAGAATCTAAATTATTGAATAAACTAGCTGTGAACCATTGAACTTTTATTACAAAGACATTTTAGTCATTTTAAAATTGGTAGAGTGTAATTGCATTTTTGACCCCTGACTGTACATGTAACTCATCCGAAGATGTGGAAGATTAGGTACGGTCATACCATCATAAAAAAAACTCAAAAATATACCTGAATAAAGAAGGAACCTATATGCCTATAACCTGATGTTTAAGTTGTTAAACTGATTACGCGTAATTTAATAGGAACTCGACTACTTTCAAGTCACGCTAGGGTCTCATATTCATATTGCCTCAAGGTTTACCGATTATAGATTAAATAGAGAAGATTCATAATAATAAAAACAGACATTTTATTACGGACAAGAGTCGAGCTCTTACTCTGGTGGATGTGCACTGGAAAATTCTCGAACGTGATTTAAAATTCTTGAAGCTGTTTAAAGTGGAAAATCTTATTTGTAAAATGTCTTCGGAGGACATTCCTGCGACGAACAACAAACTCAATAAAGCTTTCACTATTTACAATGTGCTTCTGTGTCGAAGTCAATCTTCTTAGCGACCAACTGGCAAGCTCTATCTACTTACTTATAAAGTTTAGAACTAAAGCCGGATTATTTTGCTCATTTTCTTCGCTTCACTGTGACTTTGTATTTTCTCAAGTGATCTTAACTGTTTAGTACTGGAAATAAGCTTTAATTATACTTTAAAGATATTATTTTTAAATGAGGTTTATCTATAATAAACTTTTTTTGTAAATAGCATCGACGAAGATGAAAGGGAAATTGTAGTTAAAGGTCAGTTGTTCACCGATATAGACGCATTGGTTTTAGACACATTTATAACACCCTATATTCTTAACGAAAATCTTATTATACCGTCATGAGGAAAACAAAGGTGCACCAAATTATTCAATGTACACTCACTTTTCATCAGTTATACTATGAGTTTCATGTATCAGGTTGTGAACCTATTACCATATACTGAACACAATTCCATTCTGTGTAATAAAGAGTTACGATAGAGTTTCTTGTTCGTTCTTCTCCATTCAAAGTCAAAGGATTTATTTGCTCTTGAATACAGTTACATAAAAGGTGTTACAATATATCAATAAGTTCAGTATTCAGTCATAAGCTGCAAATGTTTGATAACAAGTTTTTTATATCTTATTCATTAATAACATTATTTTGGAAACTTATATTGTAAAAAAAAATTATAGAGTAGAAAGGATTCTCAATTAGCCATCCACGTAATGCCCTTTTAAATCGAGTAATTGGCAACTCTCGAAGTTGGATCGTTCGAATCTACAATTTGAAACGAACACTTAGCTTCACTGACAAACAGACTGACAGACTATTTTTCCATTTTGACGTTTCAAAATTACTTGTTTATAGTTTAGTTAGATAAAACAATTTTTGACTTTGACTTTGTACTTAAGAAATAACACGCTCGACCAAGAAACTTGAACTTGCGATCAGTCGACCACCAACGTATTTTTTACGAGCATGTGCCTACGAATTACCTAACGGTAAGCAATCGGTGCCGCCCATTAACACTCATAATACCGAAGGAATTTCTATAAGTACGTTAATTGCCAGACTCTTGTGGGTTATAAGTGATTTGAGGATTGAATATGGGCAAAAGGATTGGGAAACTGCAACGAAAGTGTTACTTCACGCCGGTATTCTGTGAGGCCGTGGTATAAATCCGGTCGAGCCGGGCCATTGGTGCCAAAGCATGGCTCTCTCACACTTAAAACGTTATGATAAGTTATGTTTTGTATAATTATGTTTATGAGTTTGGTGAGAAATATATTAAATTGTTGTTTATTGGATTATACAGTTGGAGGGGTCGGACGCAGCTCCGGACGACCCTGTTCACCTCAAGAGACGGGTGGGACTCTTCAGTGGGGTGGCTCTAATTGTTGGCACTATGATTGGTAAGCCTTCTTTATCTTAGCTACTTAATTTCCGTATGATACTTCTATACAATGGAGATTATTTAGTTTTTCTTCTCCTTAAATAATACTTTCCGATTTCACATTTCGTTTAAAAAAAATATGTCAAGTGGGGTCATTTATTTGATTTACTTTTCTGTTCGTTCGTTACACCTCTATAGGCTCTATACAAGCATACTAAATGGTGTTCAATAGAAATCCATTAATGGCTTACAAATAAATTGTAATATGAAAACCGTAACTTACATTCCGTCACACGTGCTTTTTGTACCCGCGTCACAAGCAACGAATATATTGGCTGGACGTAAAATTATTCAGATGTGCATCTGGCTAAAGATAAACATTAACTTACGCAAGACTCGTAATTAATTATAATAACGTAAATAAAAATTCATTTGGCACCATAATATTGAGTTAAATACGAGCCGTTTAAAAATGTTATCCGTCTAGTTAATTTTAGACGAAATCATTTGGCCACATTGAAAAAACATTTGTAAACATTCGTTTATGTTGAATATGTATGAGAATCACGAGTTTCCCTAGATATTTTCATGCTCAAACTTGGCTCTTAAATTGCGTGCCTACGTGCGTACCATGAACGTGCGTCTAACAAAAGTTACAAATGAATAATGTTTAACTCGATTCTCTAATTGTTTCTCCCGTAATGAGACTCGATTATGGGAAATGAAGTTCTACGAGCACTTGTTGATAGTAATAGGCTTCGGGCCAGCGATCTGTCATTGTTCCAAGATTGTTCACTCGTCAACACTGGACGTAGATCGAACGGTGCCAAAGTGCTCAACACCACGTGTCAATATCAAGTTTAAACAATGTATTTTGCAATTAAAATCTACATGTCGCTAAGAAATGTAATAGCTACAATTTAAATGTTTTTTTAAAGCTACTAGGTGCTAGGTTAAATTGAAAGAAATTAAAGGCTAAATGAATTCTTGTACATTAAGAAAAATTGACATAATAAAGCTATCTTCATTATAGCTCACTGCTATTATATATGTGTGCGACCTTTTCAGATTCATTTAGGCTATAAATTGAACGGTATCCATATTTTAGTTTACAGTTCTCCGTGTTAAAATTAGGGGGTGAAATATGAACGAGAGACGGATTATGTAATTGGCAATTTTGTATTCCAGGTTCAGGAATATTCGTCTCGCCCTCTGGGCTTCTAGAGCGTACCGGCTCAGTGGGCATAAGCTTCATCATTTGGATGGCATGTGGCCTGCTCTCGCTGCTTGGTAAGTGGCTCATGTGAACAATAATTATTCTACAATCAGTCTCGTGACCGATGTACTTCAATCATCAAATTGGTTAACTATCTCAACGAGCAGGAGTGGTACATAAGTATACATACCCATTTATGTCGCCAAGTTTTATAGCATTGTAGGGTACGGCTAGATGAGATTGCAAATTGATATATCAACGATTCCCATCAACTTTGTCGGTACTCGTTGCCGGCTTCAATAGATTCAATTTTAAATATTGACATGTCGGTAATTGCTTTGCTGTAGTCAAGTACCTACAGCTGATCTTGGCTTGTAGCACGTTGTCACAGCATGTTACCCTACAATTACGCGGGTTAATTAATATCTACCACGACATGAAAGATATGATCTCATTCTTTTAAGATATCAATTAAAGAAGATGATGATTTGCCTTAATTAGGAGCGCTCGCGTATGCGGAGTTGGGAACGATGAACACGTCGTCAGGCGCTGAGTACGCCTACTTTATGGACGCTTTCGGAGGACCTCCCGCGTTTCTATTTTCATGGGTAAGTAAAATAAATTTAATCCTAAAGAAATAAATTTATGTAAAAGCAACACTAAAAGGTTTCTTCTACTGATTACAGGTATCGACTTTAGTACTGAAGCCGTCACAGATGGCTATAATATGTTTGAGTTTCGCAAAATATGCTGTGGAACCATTCGTATCGGAGTGTGAACCGCCAACCAGCCTGGTCAAACTTGTCGCGGTCATTTCTATTGGTACGTGAAATTGCCGTACATCATAAAGCATATTAAACATTCAATATACTTCATTAATGATCGAAATAGACGAGCTTCAATTGATATATAGCGAATGCTGATTGATGTCAATGAGATATTGTCGGTTGGAATCTTTAAATAGTCAACTCTATATTATAATTTCTCTTTACAGTGATGATATTAGCGGTAAATTGCTACAGCGTCAATTTAGCTACAAATGTACAAAACATCTTCACGGCAGCTAAGCTGGTGGCGATTGCGATCATTGTAGGCGGTGGAGCATACAAGTTAATATTAGGTAATGAATTATATACAATAAGATTAAAACCCATAGCTACACAAGAGCTTTTATCCATCGTTACCGCAACCCGTCCAGTTTCACCAGATGTGAGTGACATTTCCATAATCATTCGTCACACGACTATCTACTTAATTAAATTAACTACCATCAAATATTATTCGTTCAACAAATTAGTCATTACGAAATAGGTCACTATATCTAACCTATCCCAAATCAAGCTCAACGTATCCATTACCCGCCTTTTCATTATCCTAATGGGTTGTAAATATTTGTTCAAACACTGACGGTTGGTTGTTCGATATGGTGCAGGTAATACGCGACATTTACAGGAGCCCAACTTCGCAAGTAGCACCGCCACGCTGGGCAACATTGCCACAGCGTTCTACACTGGCCTTTGGGCATATGACGGTTGGAATAACCTGAACTATGTCACTGAGGAAATTAAAAATCCATCCAAGTAAGTGGTTATTTGTTATTTAACGAATTATTCTTAGAATAATATTTACATTAACAAGTAAAAAACGCTTAGACAATTGATATAGATGATATATCTATATATCTGGATGATAAGTGCTTTCCTTATTTTGCCTTAATAGAGAACCTTCTTTCGAAGTATAAGTAAGTACCTAGGTACCTGGAAGCTAAGACTAATTAGCATTGTTGATAAACTTATAGGAACTTACCGTTGAGTATAATAATTGGCATCCCGCTGGTGACGCTGTGCTACGCGCTGGTGAACGTGTCGTACCTTGCTGTGATGTCGGTAAGCGAGATGGCGGACAGCGAAGCGGTGGCCGTCACCTTCGGCAACAGGCTACTGGGCCCACTTGCCTGGCTCATGCCACTCGCAGTCACCATATCAACATTCGGATCCGCTAATGGCACACTGTTTGTCGCGGGAAGGTAGGACTCTGAACTATCGTCTTCATATTATTATGTTTCCTCGCTCAACCTGTGAAACTAGTTAGTAAAATCCGTTGTTTTTAGATTATGTTTTGTCAAAATCATAAATAAGTTCTATGCACACACGTTTAATTCATTAAATCCCAAGCGAACGCGGGCGTTAGCGCACCTATTGTTCTTCTATTGCGTCTCGTAGTTACCACGATTGTAAAGTTAAATCTTTTACAGGTTGTGTTTCGCAGCGTCAAGGGAAGGTCATTTATTGGACATCTTATCCTACGTCCACGTGCGCCGTTTCACTCCAGCTCCAGGACTGATTTTCCACGTAAGTTTAAATAAAGAAATACGAATCTACAAGACAGGATAGTGCAAAAATTATTTTTACTGATATTTTTTTATTTATTTTTCAGTCTCTGATAGCAGTGGCGATGGTGTTGTATGGAACGATAGACTCGTTAATTGACTTCTTTTCCTTCACCGCGTGGATCTTCTATGGTGGCGCAATGCTCGCATTGATTGTTATGAGGCGTACTAAACCGCACGCACCCAGACCATATAAGGTATGAACTTTATTCACCCTTCAAAACAACATCACCGATAACTTGCTATAGATTTTTACTAAAAAATATCCAAACTATTTATTCGTTGATAGTCCTCTAAATATTTTTGTAATGTTTAAAAGACTTATAATAATTTTAGGTGCCGATAATAATTCCGTACGTTGTATTGCTGGTATCCACCTATCTGGTGGTAGCGCCAATCGTGGACAAGCCCCAGTGGGAGTACCTGTACGCTACCGCCTTCATTTTCGGTGGCCTCTTGGTGTACGTGCCTTTCGTCAAGTGGGGCTACTCTCTACCGTTCATGGGTAAGGATAGATATCTAGATGCCTAGATCGCAATGTACATTTAGGGCTAAAGGCTACTTCAAGCCGTTTAACCAGTTAAAAAAATTACAAATAAATATTTTATTTCAGATAAAATAACAGTTTTCTTGCAAATGGTGCTGGAGGTGGTGCCAACGTCAACAACGTTCGAATATTAGGAAGCAGTCGGAGCTGGACTTTAAAGAAGCAATTGTGACAAATTCTCGTCGATTTATTGTACCATATCTAAGTATCATTTGGATTTCGTACATTGTTATCTATTTTTTGGTCCTGTTTCGCCCAACCTCTAAAAACTTTAAAAAGGTAACGTTAACAAAAATAATATATTTTGTAACAAGTTAATACCTCAATTTCTTAGAGGCGGTGATATACCTAGATACTTAATTAAAATTTGATATAATTTTTTGACTGATAGGTATGTTCCTTATCCGAAATTATTGCCCACAATATTGTGTATATGCAATAAATAACTCTCTGTAAAACTAAATGTATAATATCGTGTTATATGACTTTAAAATTACATGGTATTTTGATGTTGTTGCAGCGTAAAGCTTTTTACACTTTTGTTTTCGAATTTTAAGAAAAAATGTTGTACTTATGAAATATATTTGGTAATAATGCAGCGTTAAAAATGTGAAAGCCAAATGGCAATATTTTTTGCTATAACTTAGATAGTAATGACGTCGTTCATTTCATTAGTTTGCACGAATCATTCCTATGGGGACATGCATTTCGAGGCGTTGACACTGTGCCATGTTGAGTCGAGGCAAGGTGATCTTGATCGTGGTAGATAATATCAATGTGTGACATGAAGTGAGGGTTAAGGATAGTGGTTCAAGCACCCTGATAGCCGTGACAAATGCCATTATTATGACCGATTTACGCCTTTAAAAGCGATTATAGGTACTCGGTATCTACCTTGATAAACTAATAAAATTGTGGTATGGCCAAGCTAAGTAAGTTGCAGGTCCAGTTTTGTAAGTCATTCGTGTCATGAATATTTTTCTCTCGAAGGCTTGTCACAATATTTATCCTCAACCCTCTACTAGACTGTAGGTAGCAAGAATGATGTATCATAGGTACATGGTATGCAGTAGTTCTCGATAAGACTCGAGCCCTGTTCGCATCACTATGAGTGATTGTGCTAAACTCATAGTTTGTAGCTCATCAACTCATCATAGCCAACCTTAGAAGTTATGGAGTAGGTATAGAAATGTGTTTTATTTTGATAATAAATAAATATTTAATAAATTCGGTTTGCGTTAAGTGTAATACTTACAGGGGATAATAATTAGTTTGCCGTACCTATTTGTTGACGGTGCTGATACGCTAGGAGTTTACCCAAGAATTTGTATTGGTAAATTGTCGCTAATGGTACAATCAATTAAATGGCAAGGTATTTACGTGTGTGTCCATAAATCTCATTGCTGGTTGTACAAGAACGTTCTAAACGGAGCTCAGAGGCACAAAAGGCTAAGGATATTTACATGTAAAGTGGAAAAAATCTCAATCTTGGGCGGATACTTTATCCCTTTTGAAAGACTAAAGTGTGTGTTAACAATAGTTTGTAAAAAATGTTTGTTTCAATGGCTGATGTCTGCGATCGGTAAAATTTGGTCCTATCATTCCTTACCGGGGCAGGCGAGGCCATCGACTTTTTATTGAAGATATTTTTATATTTATTGATTTTAATATAATACTTGATTTTTTTATTACTCAATCATTTTAAATATTTAATAATTAGATAATTTCAAATAAATTAGAAATGTCTAAAGCTTATTTGTATAAGTTGCCCAATTGTTTAGTTTCATTGTATATATCTAACAGTTTGGACATAAAAGAGTACATAATTTATGTAGCTAATAAATACTAAGCAAACACGGGCACACAGAAAGTACACACCTGACGATGTGATATTGTTATGGGTAAAAACGAATGGTTTTATTTTGTGTACAGAAATATCATAAACATACCTATACTTACATAATATAAATGTGTGTACTTATCTCTGAAAGAGATCAGAATTATTTATTGTTATATACTACCATTGAAATGAAATTTTAAATAAAGACAAATAAATCAGCTGGTTGTTTTAATTCTAACGTAAGAAAAATAAAAGAATAAGTAATGTTCAACAATTTATTGTTGTCAAAAAACAAAGATCACAGATCTTTGAGCAGTTCTATACCATTTGAAATATTTTGGCGAGACGGGAACTTTTGTGATGAGTAAATAGGTCACTCATACAACACAAAGCAAAAAGGCTTACAGTTACGAATGGTTATAGAACACCACTATGCTATTATTGTCTATGTTATGACACTCTAAAACTAAAAGGATAGCAAGGGATTGCAGTCAATAATGGTACTGTAGTCGTAAACATAATTATATATTTATATATCATTCAACACATACACTCTCATATAAATATTTGCAAGCCATTCTTTCTAAAATTTGTATAAATACACAACATAATTAAACATGTTGTACATATTGCACATAACAAGATAAGTGCTGTCAAATTGTGGTAAAATAATGTTCATGGCATCATCCTACTGTCCTAGATATCACTATTACTTTACAAACGGTGTATAAGAAATTTAATTTATGATATCTTAACAGTGAATAACAACATACTACAATATAATAATATCAGTTCACTGCAAAATAGCCAAAATATTTCTGAAATGGTATGAATTGACTTAGATTCGCTTTGCTTTCAAGGCTCTCTGATATTCACATGGCATTACATAATAAACTAATAGATATATTTCTGATTTAGAACCTAAGGTGCGGTTTATTCTTCATCATGTGCCTGGAACAAAAAAGATTTTATGAATATATTGAAGAAAAAAAAAAGCATTCCAAGCCTGACATACTATGACGTAAGCTAACCTCATTACGTATTACATGTATTTGAGCAACATCTATTTTTAAGATAATATTTTAGCCACAACCCAAACACAATTTGTGTACTTAAAAGATCACTCTATTAGTACAAAGAATGAAAGTTCCTAGTAAAAAACGCTACAATGAGGCGGTGATAAAGCAGATTTAATAAATTTATTGTAGTCATTACTCTTACTCTTACCGCATACGTCCAATATCTGACTAAAAGACTGCAAAATAAACACAGGGTGGTGGAACTATCTGATAATCCTGAACTTTTTATTGCATTCTCCAACCGCCCTATCAGCTGTGGAGATTATGGAAAACTCCTTTTGTATAGAAGTCAAAAGTCTGGCATTGGACTATAAGGGCTATCAATATAAATAGAAATACATAGTGGATAATACACAACACATACTTGTCCAGGGTCTCCCAAAAGCCGAGTAGGACGGCGCGGTCAAGATGCCGCTTGGTGCGACTTAGGTTTAGTACGGTGACTGCCCAGCGAGCCACATTCGCGTCTAACTTCATTTCGTCATATTTCAAGTGGAACGCACAAACTGAAAAAAAATAATAATAATATGTAAAGCTCTTTTTCAACCACGGTCTCACGCAAAATCAAAGTGCTCTGATGTGTGATTGCTTCCTACTTCTTATCCGACTATAATTATATCACAAAGCGCAGAAAACGGCTGAAGGCAACTTTAACTCGGCAACTGGATGATTAACTCCAAAAATAAATAGCATTTAAAATAGCATAATTATGTTTCATGCATACAAATCACTTTTGCCGTAATACAATATCGAAATCAATAATTTAATTGAGAGAAATACTGTCTTAAATTAATCTGTGGTACTCACTATTAGCAAATATCTGAACGGGATTGCCGTCCCAAGGCCATCCCTTGAACTGCCAGGCTGGTCCCTGCACGAATACTGCGACAACTCGGTCCCATTCTGCAGCTGATAATCTGCCCGGATTGTCTACGACGCGGTAAGGTACCTGAAAATTCATATTCTTTAGATAAAAGCAAAAAACAATCTTACTAATATTATTAATGCGAAAACTACGATGTTTGGATGTTTTTTACTCAATCACGCCAAAACGGCTGGTCGGATCTGGATGTTTTAGGCATAGGTTACACTCCTGAATGACATTGGCTACTTTTTATCAACATACCACGCGTATTATTGAACCCATTAAAATAGTCAACTGATGTCTTCTAAATGTGTTTGCTAGACTCTTGTAAATGACTGGATTGTTAGAAAGGTTTCTTGGTGTCCAGAAAAAGCGGATTAATGCTATTGTCTAAAATATGATTCTGAATAAGACAAAAACAATACCGTAATAGTAGTCGCGTTGTTTGGCACCTCCCCTGTGGGTCCTTTTCTTCTCTGCAACAATACTTCATTTTCACGAGCCGCTCCTTCAGCTTTCTTCTGTTCCACAGTAACAAATCTAAAAAAATACAGACAACCACAAATTATACTAAAGAAATGATACGCATAAAAACAAAAACAAAAAGGAATTTAGATGTTAGGGACCTCCGAAACCGTAATCGAAACTATCGGATATCCGCTAATATAAAAAAATATCCGTAACCGAAACCGAAATAACAGTTTTGGATAATTGAGACACGATACCGAAATTATCCGAAACTAACGGATAATCCGAAATAATTTCATATCCGTATTCGTTACCGTATCCAGTATAATAATCATTCCTACATTCTTAGCCAATCTGTATCCGAAATTTCATAGCCATAACATCCCTAATTTACCTCACGATAATTAATAAAGATTAAATAAACCCAAAAATATGTTTGATGGGCGTGCAGTTTTTTGAGGAATCATCTTTTCAGTCTTATCACGCCCTGTATAGGGCGAGCAGGGGTGTCGTACTCTTACTGACTAAAAATCACTCTGTTTCTTATTCGAAAGTGCTGATTAGATATCAAAAGTCTGTTTCACTAGTATTTTTTATCAAGCTTGTCGTATAAAATACCAACTTATTAACCACTAAACCTCTTTAATCTTAAAATAACTACTCAAACTTACTTAAGATCTTGCAGAGTGTCCTTAACATTATACATGGATATGAGTGAGGTGGTGGCTGCGGGGATGATAATGATGGGTGTGCGAGAAGGCCGCTTGCCGCCTGCGCCGGCTGGGGGCCGCGCCGCCGTTACTGGTAGCAGTTCCCGCCGACCCGGCGTACTTCCGCCCATTGAACCGTTTTCTATACATCATACATTAACACATATTATTGCTTATGGACAAAATAAATAAGTTAATTGGCTAGTTTCCTCGGCCAAAACGAAAATATTCCTAAAATGAACTAAGTATTGAATTTGACTAGTTGGAAATTACTGTATTACACAGACCTATTGCCATGTGACTAACAATTTTATATGATGATGAGGAATGACACTAAAAGTCTCCTACCTACCCTTTGTGCAGATAAAAAGTATATTATGGCATGGATTAGTACAAAAAATACTTACGTGGCATTTGCCTAGGATGGCTTGGCGTTTGAGGCGCTCGCGCAGCGGCCGGTACACTTGGTCCCTCTGTTACCGACTTCAGTGTCATACCGTGATAGGTACCCATAGTGTCGATTTTGAAGCCTTCCGTTTCTGTAATAATACGAAATAAATATACTGTGTGAATATTCATTAAATAGTTCGGACAGTTGCAAAGATTTTTAACCAATCTAAAGAGATTAACAGTTAAGTTGAATATCTTCTCAGTATCCAATAATAACCCTACGACTGTACACTGACATAAAATTTGGTCAGAACTAGACATCACATAAATAACGCAAATGTCATAAATATAAATGGCGTGACATGCAAAGCGAATGGCGATACCAATTAGCGCTGCAATTCTGTGAGGAACGAAACTAACCAATGGACGCCACTCATAGACAGTTGAGAATCCCAATCATCTTTAGTGAGGGAATCGTAAGAATACAGTTATTATTTGGTAACAAAATCATACCTTCTTTTTGCCTAATAAACCTTTCCTGATCGTATCTGTTGTACTGTGTTTGCTGTTGCGGTAATGATGTGGGCTGTGGCATGACGATGGGTTGCGGCCGAGGCGCCCCTGGTCGACCTTCTTCCCGTGCCCGAATGCTGCCCAATAGAGCTAGAATACTCTTTGCAAACACCTGAAAATTATTTGTAAATAAGTATTATGTTAATCATAATTGTAATTTATTTCTCTATTATGGCAATGACAAGTTACCTAGGGTTACCCAAAATTTATTAAATATATATAGATATTTAGATATTCAACAGTTTTACAGTAAAATATATAATATGACTTTCATTGCAGCAATTATTTATTGATTTAAATATTATGTTGCAAGTATACTTCTGCTACAATAATTGTCTATCAAAACGAGCTTTGTGGCTTAATGGAGTTGTTAAATTATCAGAATATAAATATAACAATTTATTTTATAGACTACACATTTCTAAGCTATTATTGATCACAAAAAATTCTACAACACATCACATATCCATCGGTAATTGCATACTCTGATTGGTTACACATTCTAAAATGTCAATAATCTTCTAAAATTGCTTACCTTTCCGTTACTTTGTAATACTGTCGTTCTTGTGCGCCACTGTCTTTCTCGGCTCATAATATCCTTGGTTAGATCTACATCATAGTCGAGGATGGCCCGAAAGTCTGATCCGACGACACCAAGTGTGTCAGAATAATCATTGCTCTTGATTGTAGTCCTCTTTTTTGCTAAACGTTTTGCTTTGATGGCGGCAATTTTCTCCACTGACATAGCCTCCGATAGTGACCTTAATAAAAATATTTTTTTAAGTCCCTATCTTATTTATAATTATTATATATTGGGTTTATACTTTGCTGTTCAGGGAAAATTTATATTAATTCACCAAATTATTGCCAAAAACATTGTTGTTATTGTGTATGGTTCATGTACCAAGAATCTACTAACAACCTACATACTGAAATTCTATCATCATTGTTAAATTTTCAGCACAACACACATAAGTGCCAAAGCATCTGTGAGGCAAATATTGTAGAAATCAGTTTTTTTTTGCATATTTGCTGCAGTCCTAAAATACTACGTAGACTATGTATTGAGTTATTTTTTCCCTGTTCGCCTTACTGGTTTCTTTAAAAGTATCCTTTGATATCCACTTCACCCCTCAGACAGACTATTCAAAATACCGATAACCCAGATACACCAAATGATTTCTCATGGCCAGGCTTATAAAATTGCCAAAGAAAATGTTCAACATGGTGTATATTCCCCAATACACTGGCTTCTGAAGTTGAGTACTTGAGGTGTACAAATAGATACCCACAGGCTTGTGGGTGTTGCATCTTCATACTTATTAGAAAACTAGATTAAAATATTTATTAAAAGCTGAATTAATAATGTTAAGATAAAAGGTTAATGAATTCGGACATATCGTAATTCTTATGAGATAGGTGTAATGATTTCCAATAAGACTTTTAACATATTTTAGCTTACTTGATATTGTCAACTGTGACAGATGCCTCCTTCGGTGCATCAAGTCTAGCTGCAAGCTGTTCTCGTACTTTCTGCACATGGGTTTCCTCAATACGAGGCTTCTTTGCTGCAGATTCACCACCATCATGGTCATGAGTTCGTTTAACCTAAAAAATAATAATTTTAGCCCTATACTGTGTCTCCTATAAATTAATAACATATAATATTAAATTATATAATGTATTGCTAAAATGTTACCTGTGTTGGTATTTCTAGAGGAGCACTTTTATCTATTGATGCACAAGTTGCAGTTTCACCATTCAAGTATGCCAACAATTCTTTACGATCTGGACGACGCACAGCCGGTATGTTTGCAGCCTGTATAAAATTACATATTCACTGCATATTCATGTTGAGAGAAACTATCACACCAATAATATCACTGTACTTACAGCTGCTTGCCTAACATAAACTGGATGGGTCAACTGTATATTTTTGAGAATGAATAGAAGACATTCCAATGTATAATATTCTTTGTCATTGCCTTCTTTTCCAGACCTGAAAAATAGTACAAAATAAGAAAAAAATCACACATGTTATCAAATCTTCAAAATCTTGAAAAAAGAAATACGAAAGCTTTTCTTACCCCCACATAAGATAATTTGTTTTAACATTTTTGGGCCAAGAAAATTCACCAAATATAATTTGGTTATCCCGTTCAATTATTTCTTTTTTGTTTACGTTGTACTGTCGAAGTAAACTCAACGGGTCCGCCATGATTGCCTACTTCACTATCGTTTTCACTGCATAAAACACAAATGCAAGTAACTTAAAATTATAAGAAAATAGTAAAACATTCGTCAAATGAAATTTTGGTATTTGATTATTCTACGAATTTTACAGCAGGTTATCATTTAGTTTTTATCACAATACACATCAACACACAATCATTGACACTACGGTGCCGCCATTGCCAACAGATAAATTATGAACTTAATTATTTAAAATTAAATATACCACAGATTATAAAATTATAAGCAAGACGGTACAAACATTATTATAATAATTTTATTGCAACTTCTATTTATTTACTACATAAATAAAGCACATATATTAGCAACCGGATCTTGTAATAAAACATCTCAAACTGACTTTGAATTCTTACAAATAGTGACAAATAGTTCTTCAATTTTTATTTATGAGCAGTCTATGGAATTTTAGTTTATACATAAAAAGGTTGAGAAAAAATATATAACATTTTTGCTTAATTTCTTTTTGTCAATAATTATTGTTAGATTGTCGGTTTATTACATTCATGATAAAACAATATTTTTCTCAATAGCGCCTAGTGTCACCTAGGGGCACAATTTATATTACTTTAAAAAAGTTTTAATTTCAAATGTATAGATGGCGCTAACTGCAACATATTATAAATTGTTTTCTAAACATGGCTGCCGGTGGAGTCTAATGATATTTTTTTTGTGAATTCTGCCCTATTCACTAATTTTAAATCAAATCAAAACTTTGTTAATGGTGTTAATATGACATAGTAGTTACAGTTGAAATAAGATGACTTCCACTCCAAAGACTGAAAAATGCGGACAAGGTATGTGAAGTTATCATAATGCTTTTCTTTCGTGTATAAATTTATTACAGTTTCAGTTCATCTGTTTCTCTAGTTCTATTTATATTTCTAACTCAATGTATTCTAAAGTAAACCACTCAAATAATGTGGAATAATTCCTAGTTTTACTAGTATAATTTAGTGCTTTGATAGTGTAGGTTGGGTAGTTCGGAAGAAGTATACATTTTGATAGCTATTGGATCGTTGAGAGTAACCTGGGGAGCATTGCAAATAGGTACAAGTTTAATATTTAATTGTCCTCAAATAGAGTTTGGTTTGTAAAATCGATAGAATAGCACTTAACTTTTTCCTTGTCATTAGTCATGAGTTAAATAAACATTACTGTTAACAATTTTTGTAACTGTGTTGATAATGGGAATAATGTTCAATACTTTAAAGTGTTATCCATATAATTATTTTGCTACAAGGATTATAACATTATATTATTGATTTTCATAAGTTTTACTAAATCCTTTGTCTCTTTCTTAGTTATCTGTGAAATTCTTAGATAAACAGACAAGTTTTATTGCATATTCAGTCAAACATTTTAAAATTATTAAATAGTAGAATAAAGGTACACATTATTTTAGTACTTTCCTGTTTCATAGACTCATCTTAGGCTTATTACAAAACATGTGTCATGAATGGTGACTTGGGTGCTTAAGTATAATTTTTTTATCAATAGCATGTATTTGTTGTGATATCATTGTTATACTTTGTTATGTTACTGTATTTTAAATTATCAGCCTAACAAATTTTATCAGTTGATATGAAATGTCGGTCATTTAGACAATTAATAAAAACTCGAATCTCATAAGAACATAAGTATCCCATAACATGTTTAAATGACTTTTGTTCTTAAAAAATTAATAATTTAAAAAATCTAAATGATCCAGGTATTAAAAAAATCTTTTGGTGATTGAAGTGTTAGAAATCAAATGTTCTAAGTAACTCTCTTCTCTACAGTTTTGTACTGTAATACATAGTTAGTACATTTTTTATGTGTTTGACAATATTTACTACAATTTTAAACTGTTAAATTATTTATTTTCATCGCATGCTAGGGAAACCTTTATTAATTTACTTATTTAACAACTAAACATTATGTGTACCTGTCTGCCAATAATAAGTCTTCACATAATATATAAGAAAAACTAGCTTTTGCCAGTGACTTTGTCAGCGTGGAATAGTGACTTCCTGCAGATTTTTGGTTAAAAGCTATCCTATGTCCTTTCTCGAGTTTGAAACTATGTCTGTACCAAATTTCACACAAATGGGTTCAGTACTTAGTTTAGATGTGAAGAAAAGACAGACAGAGTTCCTTTGCATTTATAATATTAGTTTGGATATTTCCCAAATAGGTACATTAAATATATTATTGTTACCATTAAAAGTTTTTCTTCTCTTGAATGGTATCTCAGACTTTATTGCAGTGTTTCATCTTCCTGTTACTATGACGAACAAATAATTTACTATATATGCCTACTTAACTTATAACATATCTGTTTTACAATGTTTGATTGTGGCGTTTTAACAATGATTCGTTTTCTGTCTAACTGACAGATAGTTGTTATTTTTTTCAAACAAAGTGTATCTGTTTTTATAATAACTATCGTGAGACATACTAAATTAACTAAAAATCAGTAGGCTGCGCGACGTCGCCGCGTCCGCGCACGCTGCTCATGAGGAAGAACCCCTCTGTGGTTCGAAACTAGTAGAGCTTTTCTCAATACATACACATGAGTAACCCGCGATTTTTAGTTAATAAAGTGTATCTGAATATGTTTCAGCGAAGTGAACAATATTGTAAAAAAACATTGTGTTTCAAATTCTAGATATGGCGATGCCTGCCTTTATGTAAACTACACCGCTTTATGTGCTCAATAAATATTGTACCTAATTGTTATAAAATGTTCTACATTAAAATCTTCTTGAATAGAATCGAATAATATGAGTTACCTAGCGAAACTAACAACAGACTATTTTAAGACTATGCTATTCTTTGACTTTTAAATGTCCTTTTTTGATCTATATGAACATTAAATTTGTGCTTTTACTTTGGAATCTTTCTTGCCATTAGTTAAATTAAGAGCTAAGCTAGAAAGAGGTTTTTTAATACTACTAATTAAGTATTCGGGAATGTTGATGTCTCATTATAATAACAAGATGTCATTATTTGTTACCACTTCTACCAACTAAAAATAATCAACAATTAAATTTCAATCAAAACAGAATAAAAAGCGTGAAGTTACGTAAAATTTAATTTTGTGTCCATACATAATTTCCTTTGGGTACATCCTTCCAATGCGCAATGGCTGTAATTGTGAATCGACTAGCTCAGTACGTAGCATCCGCTGTCGCCTGCCTGTGGCAATCGCAATTTTTGTCTGTCCCACATTTTTTATTGGATTCGCTATAGATCAGCTCATCTGTGAATCGGCACTAGTATGGGTAAGCTCCACTATGAGTTTAATACGCTATATCTTCCGATTCCATTTATGTATTTATTTGAATAAACGCCCTATGTTGGCCAAAATAAGTATTACTTAAAAACTGACTTTGTTACAATACTAATCCCATGTGCAGAAATACGTAAAATTGACTCGGAAATAAATTGATTAGTGCTGTTATTTATAAGAATCAATATAACAATTTCTAAAAAGGGCTTCTCTGCTAATGTCGTTTGGGGTCATGATCACGTTATGTAGACGACTCAGCTTTCCATTAGCTACACGTAATAACTCGCGAGCTATCTTCAAAACACAATACGAGTATCTATAGAAGCACTGAGAAAGTGAAGCCAGTCTCGGGGACATAGATTAACTTTCTCAGATCCTATAATGAATTTAATTTAAAAAATATCATTAGAATTATTGTACTGATTTGATCTAATTGTCCAGCCTAATAATTAACGCCATACGATGAAATGAAACAATATCTTTCTCAGTTTGTCGCTTAGCTGTGTTTTAGCGCTAAAATAGTTTTTGAAAGCCTAATTTAGAGCTTCTTGAGATTGTAGATAACTTTTCGTATTGGTTTCTAAACCTCGCATAACATATAGTCTAATCCGCATCTTTTAAACGAAGATACTTATACATTTTCGAAAAAGGAAATCTTTTTTGTATTGACAATAATTGTAACGGCATCGCATATTCATATTGGGCAATTTATACGAGATTCTTGCGTTGCATTGAACGATAGAATAGAATAGCGAGATATAAGAGTATTGCGTTTCGTCTCGCGCCACTAATTATGATTATTATACAATTGAAGAGTTCTTTTTTCATAATATATATTTTATTTCATTGCTCTAATTGTACAGTTACTGTTCTTACAATTAATTGTCATAAGTCTTCCGGCACAGCGCGCGGCGCGGCGTTGATGCTGTAACCTGGCTGTATCTATATTCACAGTAAATGTTACAGGCGATAACATATTTTTAGAGGGTTTAATATTATCACTACTAATAGAAAAAAAGTTGCTTTCTCTGCCCCTATTTCCCTAAAAGACCCTGTGTATGCTTAATTTTTTTAAACTACGCAGTGGTTTTTTATGCGGTAGAGTGATTGTACAGGTAGATTTTCTATGTACAATAAAAACCATCAAATAGTGTAGAAATTAGTATTTACAATAAGTTAACATGGGAGAACCGAGCTTTGGCCTGAAAGGGTCGGGTCGACCGGTCGTGTGATACCACGGCCTCACAAAAAGCGCGCGTGAAACAACCACAGTGTTGTGTTTCCCCGTGCGTGTTAGGTTTCCGGAGGCCCAATCCCTTCTCTTCCCCCTGTGGCTTCCCAATTCTTAAATAACCGAAACCCGTATCTCCAAAAGGCTGGCAACGCACTTGTTTGGTGTTACGGGCGTACATGGGCGGCGTCGATTCCATATTTTTATGTAATAGGTCGTCCAACGATCAGGCGGATTACCTTGCCTGATGGTAAGCAATCGACGTCGCCCATGTACGCCCGTAACACCAAACAAGTGCGTTGCCAGCCTTTCATTCCATATTTTTATGGTAGGTATATAATAGGTCGTCCAATGATCAGGCAGTTAGATTGTGCCATCATTGAGATCCTCGCTACTTTGTTTTGTTTATTAGTTAGGATCTTGCACGAATTTATGCATAATTTAAATTAATTTTACCCTCCAAAACGTATATCTTCTATCTAATGTTGAAGAATTATTTCAGGTTTTGTTAAGTAGGTCTATGAGAGAGTCGAGATATTTCTTTCCGTAATGCTTGTACATAATTTAGTCCTATGCACAGGCTGGTTGATGGCATAGCAGTCACGGACGCAGTCTGAACGTGATTGCGGTCGTACAACCTAGTTCCACTAGTATAAGAGAACAACGTACTGGGACTGTTATTTCTTGTAACAGTTGTAATTAAAATAAATGTTTTGGTTACCAGCCTTGACAGCCATTGTTATTGAAAAAATATGGGATAGTTCAAATTACACTTTTTCTGGCGAGATTAAAAGATTGTGACTAAACTGAAAATAGTTCTCGATAAATGACATTGTGGGAAAATGAGGACGCTTTAAATATAGATAATACTTAATAACTAAGTCGTAATTATAGTTAGCCTTTTCAAACCATTATCAATGTTTTCTGCCTCATCATTACTGAGTTTGTGAAACTGTCCCGTCAGACTCGGAATTACGTTGGCACAAATTTTATTCGCATGTATGTACTGTACCTCAACAGTTATTCGAGCTATTTCATAATGCTCTTCTGAATATAGAGACCCGTTATATGGAACCCATTTGCACTTGCCACATGTTACCTCCATTACAAAGCTATTCACATAGCGTCTTCTATGCAAATGTGTGTTTAAGTGCGCCAATTCAATTCTCTTCGGAGACTCTTGATTGATGTACTTCTCATACTGTACAAAGTTTCACAGTATAGCACATCTATTAGGGTAACTGTTATTTACATTTCGATGAAAGTGAAAGGAAAGATGTAATAAAAAACAA